GATGGTCATCCTAATAGTTGGAGATTGTGAACATATTTCACACGTTATATAGAAGAGACGCATGAATACCCCTAGATCTGTTAATAGTCGTCGTAAATCCTTATTAATGACAAAATTATGCTTCCCTAAAGATAATTGGCCTCACTCAATAATTGATTCGAAATTCTGTATTAAATAAATATATTATTGTGTACAAATTAGCGATTATAAAAACATAGCGCATATATATAAATTTAAAACAAACAACTGGATAAAAATTAAATTTAACAAATTCGATTTAAGAAATAGGTTTATTTGCATTGCTATATGTAACAATGAATAGCAATGCAATTACTATGTTGAATAGCTATCGTAATGGCTTGTTTGAAATAAAATTTACGATCTCCACTTATTTGGCTTAATTTTCTCCCTAATAGTGTGATAAATTTAAGGAATTCCTCACCAAAAACACCAAAAGTATTAGTGACAAGTGGGATAAAAATAATGTTAGCGATCTGAATATTTGTTATTTCTGTCGAATTAGGTTCTGAAGTATTCTTGATGGAACGCGCCGAAAATCGATGCACGTATAATCCAAAGTTATCTTCTGTTGTTGCTTGGGCATAAGTGATTAGCTCTATAATATTCAGGATGCTGCCCTTTAAGAGCTTTAGAGATTATGTTATTAATGTTGGTGTGCCGTGGGAGGCGGCCTTTAGAATATCTACAATGCAGAGGATGATGTGGGTTGGAAACGGGTGGTAAATTAATACATTTAGAAGGAAACGATAAAAAGAAATATGCCACAATGTATAATATTCATGTGCATCGAAAGGTGTATAAATAACGATATAATATTTATTTTTCAAAAAAAATGGGCCTAATAACTTTTTAATTGACCTAAACACAATAAATTATTTTCAAAATTGTCGTCCGAAAGGCGTGCTAAATTTTCTCCAAAAATAAAAGGTCCTAGACTAGACAACCTTTCTAAGGAAGTTAATAAATAATAATTTTGAATATGGGAAATCATCATTATAAAGATAATGAATGAGATACTATATCAACATATTTTTAAAAGTAGTTTTAAACTAATTATTTCGTCGTTACAAACAAACTAGTTACCGGAAAATCACTAAACACTATTTGATCCTTTTTTTATAAATTTAGTTTTTGAAAGAATTCTTATTCAGACCATGTATATATTTATATTTACTTAATTTTATTCTTTTTTTTTAGATCTTTATTATTCCTTTTCATATTACGATAGAAATAAATCACGCTAAAACTCTTGACACTCATTTTAAAATTTAGGTTTAAAAAAATCAATGACTTAGATAGGATTGCAATTTGGGCAATTTTTTTCAATATAAAAAAAATCTTGTTTTCATTTTGATTTATAATCATCATAATAGTCAAAATTACAATAATTAGAAATTAAATTTTAGGTCTCTAGTGAAAAAGTACGGCAAGAGTAATGAAAGTCAACTGGATCGATTCAAACAGCTACACAATAGAATTTTTTTCAAAATGGTCGGCTATATTCAGATCGAGTTGTGAACCCAAATAAAATATAATTATTTTATTTCCCAAAATGGGCCCGGAACAAGTAGGATCTAAATATGTCATGACAGTCCTTCAAAGAAAATTTTCGATTCCAGGAAAAAGGAAAATTTTATATATTATCTAATAAAAATAAATTTACTAATAAAAATAAATTTACTAATAAATATACCAAAATTTTATCATTATTTCTAGAATTATGTGTACTTTATTACAGATAATCGCTATGTCAAAAATTAGATAATTTAATTATATATAAATGGTAATTTTAATAAGAGCACGATATATTAAGCTAATCATGATCCAAGATATATTTACCAAATTTTGTTCATAAAGTAGTGATAATTAATTAATCTCTAAGGTGTTTTTTTTGCTAAATATCTTAGTTTGTCGGATAAGTTGTCTAATTTTTAAACAGTAGTTATATAATAATTTGGCATCTTTTTATAATATTATTTCTATAATATCATTTTTATTATATCTATTTTTGTCGAATATTGATTATTTTCTAAACAAAATAGTTTTTTCATAAAAAATCGATTTATGAAGTTAAGGCTTATATCATAACTCATAATTATAAAATCAATCGATTTTTTTAGGATATAAATATACATTGAGTATTTCATTATTATCGGCTGATCTACTACTACTAATTTTTTTAAACGGAGTTTAACATATCGAGTACTTTCAATTAGTGATCTGCATCGGGCCTAATTTTTCAGGCCCGGCCCCTGAAATTTATTTAAGAAAGTTTTGTCGGACCGGCCCGAACCTGAAATATTTGTAAAAAAATTTGCTGGCCCGATCCGGCCCGAATTTATTTAAATAATAATTACTCAAAATAAAATATATATGCTATATGCAGGGATGTGAACCCGAACCTTCCTGAACCTTCGTATTTTGTCTGTACCCGAACCCGGACCCTTTTTAAAAGTAAAGGGTCCAAGGGTTCTAGGTGTCATAAAAAATATTTAAAAAATAGTTTTTAAAAAATATTATAAAAATTTTTTAAAAATAATATAAAAATTTTTTAAAAAATAATATAAATTTTTTTAAAATTTTATTAACTTTTTTTCGCGGAATCATTTATTTTATCTTCGCGTTTTTCTTTCAATTTTCTTCCTGGATTTCTATTTTATTTAGAGATTGATATCATAAATTATTGCTAGTGTAGGTAATAATATTTTATTATGTAAATTTATTAATAGATTTCCCCCACAAATATATATTACATCAGATGTGCAGCCCATACTCTACAATTGGCTATTAATGACTGCTTAAAAATAATCATTTTGAAACTATCATTATTTAAGAACTCCCACAATTGTAAGAATATTAAAATCAATGAAAAGGTCAATGGCAATATTAGATTGCACAACACGTTGATCCTCAATTTGTATGATGCTAGAACGATTATTAAGTTTGAAAAATTTCTGCAATGATTTTATTATAGGAGCATGTGAAGTTATTTTGTCGGAATATGATTGGTGCCAAATAAAGGACCTTAGTGTATTAGTTCCTTTAATAATAACAACATTAAGATTACGAAGAGAACAATTATGTTTATCTGATTTTTAAGGCATATGGATTAGATATAGAAAGATTTACTAGACCTTTTTCATACGAAATATTAGAAAACATGAAATTCGAGAGCAACAAATGCTTCTATATATTTAGACACTCGATATCACGAGTTCTTGAGTATCGAGCAAAAAGAAATGACTAAAGCTCATATTAAGGATTTATGGTGTACGCAAAACTCCATTAACGACAATAATACCTACTGGTTGTGGTGATAATAATTATAATGATAGCAACATTGATGATCTTGAAATTTTACTTTTAGATAGAGGAAAAAAAATCAAATTATCAGATAGAAAGGATTAAAAAAATGCCTATTGCATCATTAATAGAAAAGTTCTCAGAAGTTAAAGAGAATATATAAGGATACTTACTAATATTTTAAAATTCTGGGAAGAAAATTCTCCAATATATCTATATATATCTTGTCTAGAATCGTCATGGATGTACCGGTGACACAAGTACAATAAGATTACTATCTATTTTAGGTAAGCGTAGAACGTGGATTTTCATCTTTGAAATATATAGTCTAATTTACATGGAAATCTCAAAGATGATATTTTAGAAGATATTATGATTGTGCGATTGAATAAAACATTTATAATATAAATTATTTCATTTTAAAATTTTTTATTTGTAAATTATGAATATGTATATATTGAAGTATAATAATAAATGAAAAAAGTCTTATTTTGAGTCATTTTTTTATGTTCTCTGAACCCGGACCCTTTTTAAATTTTATTGCTGTACCCGAACCCGGACCCTTTTTTTTGTCGAAGGGTTCATATCCCGGGCTATATGGTGTCTAGATTCTATAAATAAAATTAAATATTTTTATTTCACATAAAAAATTCAACATAAAATTTAGATATATTTAACAAAAATTTCAAAGCCTCACCCGACTCGGCCCGAATTTTAAAAAAATAGACCTGACCCAGCCCGAACCCAATTTTTTTATTTGCAGATCTCTACTTTCAATTTCTATCTCCAAAAATAATAATTATCCTCATATATTAATTTTTAGCCAACATTGAGCCATAAATTGATTAATAAAAGTTTGATCTAAAAATTTCCAACCCGATAAGAAAGAATGTGATTTCGACTGTGTTTGTATCGGGTACTAAAGTTACTTATGTCTATAATATTAATATATTTCTGAAATTTTAAGGTTGGTTTTCTATTTTTAAAAAAAGTAGAGCACTTCAATCCAATCATTGCACGATTAATAGAACATTATTTTATTATTTCGAGATTAAAACTATGTACTGAATTACGATTTTGTCATGCAAAATGTCACAGAAAAAGTCGTACGATTCGTGTTCCATCTAATATTCATTTATTTGTTGGACAATTCAAATCTAAAAAGATGTGTTTTAGAAGAAAAAAAATAATACTTACATTTAAATAAAAAGGCGTAGTTTTAAATAATAATACAATGTTAAACACTTCTGCTCAATTTGTAAGCCCTGTTAATGTCTCATATGAGCATATTCAATATGCATTACTAAATTAGTAACCAATTTGTGCATAACATTAATTCACAAATTTCGAGAAAATATCCTGCTATGTGAAAGAGATAGGATTCAGGAATTTTTAAATCTATTTTATGGAAACTTTGCTAACAAGAATTTAATTGGAAAAAATTTCTGAAAGGGGTTTGAATCCTACTGGTTAACAATGCCCCGGGTTTGGGGTTATTTATAATTAAGCCTTTGTTTTGTGTGTGGTCTCAAAATTCCAACCAAATAATTTTAAATTTCTGAGTCCTTTATTAATAAAGTACAATGAAATCTCTATTTACATATAATTAAACATTTACAAGATCTTTATTATAAATTTTTGGAATCAAACATTTTTAAAATATTATTGATTGCACCTGTAAATATTTATATAATCTACTGATTAAGCATAATAAATCAGTGTTTCCCATTAAATGTTCTTTCATAGTCATTATCTGTCATTTCATAAGTTTCAGGATGCAATTGTAAGCCTCCCTCTTCTTCCATTTTACTTATAAATTTGATGGCCCTATATAGAGGTTCCGATTGTCTCGATAAATCAGCGATGGCAATAAGCTTCTTAATACCAACAAAACATTTTGAATATCTAATTTTATTTGATATGGCCTCTAACTCGGGTGCCTCGAAAAAGTCTAAAACTTCCAAGACATTAATCACATGTTGTCCTGTTGATAAATTAAATATTCTTATAGTTGATGTAAAGGCTGATATAATCCCCAAATCTTTTGCAATTGAAGGCTCGCTAGTGGTTCCTAGTACAAGCATACGTTTGTGGACACCTTTGGATCCATATGGAGGTTCCTTTTTTAGAAGAATTAATAGTGTTTGGAGAACTAAATTTGAATAGCGTGGCCCTACAGGACTATATTCTAGCAATCTTTCTATGTCATCAACTATTATACAACTCAGTTCAGATTTGTAAGCATCATCAAATATTTTTTTTATGTATTGACATTTGGCTGGTTCAGTAAATGCGATCATATCTTCAGGAGATACCACTTTTACAAATGGGAAATTTGAGGTGAGTGCAATTTTGGCAGCAAGAGCAGTTTTCCCACTACCAGGTGTACCATCTAGTAAAACACTTATCAAACATTTACTTTCACTATTTTTAACCTATAAATAGGTAAAATATTATAGTACATAATAAATCCTATTAACCTGTTGAACAAATAAATCACCATCCTCTAATATTTCTGTAATAATTTTTCCCCATGTGATAATGCCATGTGAAATATAGTTTTCAACTTGCTCATAGCTTGCTCCAAAGCTTGGTTTAATATCATTTTCAAGCGCATTGAGAAAATCATCCATGCCAATCATTATTTTTTCAATGGCATCAGGATCCACTTTAACTTTGTTTGTTGCTTTAATCAGTCTGTTAAGAGCAGAAGACTGTGCAGCTCTAACCAATCCTTCAATTTCAGCACCACTAAAATTTCTTGTAAGCTCAGCTAATTTCTTAAGATCTACATCACTTGCCAATTTTTTGTTTTCTACCATTTTTGCTGTATGAATTTTTATTATTTGTAGCCTACCCTCTTCACTTGGTAATCCAATTTCCATTTGAACTTCCAATCTACCAGGCCTTAATAGTGCATCATCTATCATATCTTTGCGATTAGTCATTCCAATGACTAAAATATTATTTAACTGATCAACCCCATCAATTTTAGCCAATAATTGATTGACAACTGTATCATGAACACCAGTATTACCTGCTACAGATCCTCTAGATTTACATATTGCATCAATTTCATCAAATATAATAATATGAAGTCCACTCATAGGTCCTAATCGTTTCTCCTCTTCTTCTGCAGGTGCAAATAACTTCCGTATATTTGCTTCAGATTCTCCAACATATTTATCTAATATTTGAGGTCCATTAACTATAATTGGTTCACGTGAATTTAACATTTTCCCAATTTGTCTTGCCATCAAGGTTTTACCAGTACCTGGTGGACCAAAAAGTAAAATTCCTTTAACATGTTTACATCCAAGTAGTTCGATAACTTCTGGAGGAAAGACTCTTGATGCAAATGCTCTTCTGAATATAGCAGAAAATTCTGTATCTAAACCCCCTATACCCATTTTTTGAAAATCCCAATCAGGATTTATAATTGATTGATATGATACTTTTCCTCGAGATTTCCCAGTTAGAAGTATAGAGGAATCCTCAGGTTTATCAAATAATATGATTGAATTTGGCATAAGAATTCCAATATTTTGTTTCTTAATTTCAATATTTTTATCTTTAACATCTGCACATTCTAATTCTTTAACTACAATTGATAATAATTTTTTATTCATAAAATTGTATGGGATTTGCTGATCAATGGAAAAAGCAACATTTGAATATTGTGTCATAATATCATTTGCCATTTTATCAGTATCAAATGGTTCTTGAAGTGGAACCTTTTTACTCCAAAAATCTATATTGAATCTTATCTTACTTATATATTGCGACTTTGGGTTAAATTTAAAAGGTCTTGCATCAACTAATGCCTCAATTGATAAACTTGCCCATTTGCGATGAGGCAAAGAAAATCCAATACTCCCCAACTGAATGTCAGAAATTTTACGAATTGAAAAAACAAACCACCGATTACAAGAATTAATTTCAATATGAATTACATTTACGGGATATTCTTTGACGTTTACCGCGGCACAATTAGTATAGGATAAATCTTCTGAAGGGAGTTTTACAACACGTAATTTTCGAGTTTCCATATGGGAATGTGAATATGATCTGTTATAAAAAAAGTGTGTGATACCTGTCGTCAGACATCAAATGAAAGAAATCTACCCGAGAATATCATTTTTTTTATTATTTAAATTTATATAATAATCAATTCAAATTAAACCTTGAGTAATATCAATTCTCTTAATATAATTTTTTTCTAGGGAATTCCCATAAAAGTATATTTTTTTTATCATAAAATGAAATAATGATATATACATTTTTCAGATTTACTTAATTATTCGATTATCTCAAAAGATAAAACTAGTTTTGCATTAATGTGAACAGATGTGATAAAAATTATTTCGTTATAAGCTCTAATCTATATTTTAAAATATTTTAAAAAATACTATTCTTTAAGCTAGCAGATAACACAGCCAGGTGAGTCTAGAATTTGCTATTAATGGAAAATTTTAAAATATTATTTAAAAAAATTATCATTTTGTAATTATTATTAAAAATTTAATATTTGAAATATTAGAACAGTGGCGTCACTAGGGAGGGGCGCGCAGGGGCTCCAACCCCCTAATTTGAATAGCCCCCTGAAGGAATTTTTTTTATAGCTCTTTAATATCCCCATATCCCCTTTAACTAAAAATAAATTGTTTTGATCCCCCCCCCCTGAACGATTTCTTTTCTAATTCTATTACGTAATATATATATTTAATTTTATTATTTAAAAATTAATAAGATTATCTAAATTTTTATTAAATGAACACATAAATTATATTCTCACTATGTCAGCTTGCAATCAAATTCTGTGTTAATAATTGAATAATTGAATATCAATATCACTCTATAAATTTAGCATTAACAATTAAAGCTTAATTGACTTTTATTTTAAATTATTATATAACCCTAATTAAATAAATATAATCATATATTAATTTAAAATTAACAAATTTAATATTGTCATACGTCATACGTCATAATAAGCGCAATCGCCCTTTAACTATCTCGTCCCATCTAATTGGGTTAAGAAATTTGGGGGTAGCCTATGAGATGAGCCCATCCACAATTTTTGGGCAGGCTGCAGTTACCTGTGCGCGCAAGAGGCGAAACCACTTGCTTAAACGCCTACCGGAGATAAGAAGAGAGAGAAAAGCCCGTACCCGATTAAGTAAAATGTATATTATAGGGAGAGGTATTGGTTAATTTTAAGTTTATGGTCTATATTGAATTTGTTTGTTTAATATAAATATGATATATTTTGTTAATAAACCTGCCTTACTACTTGAATATTAGATTAGAGGGGTGATAGTATTAGTTAAGTATATTTTGGATAGTTATATCAAGGTTAGGTAATGAGGAGTTTTATAAATAAATAAATAAATGTTTGTTTACCATGGCGGGAGGAAGGTGGTGCTTATGCTAAAGGGGGGTAGGGCTGAGAGATTTGGAGGTTTAGGTAGCTGGATTTGATTTTTGGAAGCTTTTTTATTGAGCCTTATTGTTTAGAGAATTGTTCCATCGTCAGATTTAGGCTTATGACTTCTTATAACATTCTGTATAGCCAATATGACTTATATTTACCGTAGGTTTTACTTTCATGAGACTGGAGCCAGATTATAGCCTCATGAACTATGTTTTGTCTGAAGTTTCTGATGATATGACCAAAGAGTGGGATGTGTCCTTTTTTGAGAGTAGTCTCGATTGGGACATTTTTTGAGATTCGCCATAGGCTGGCATTTGAAATTAATCTTGGATATAAAATACCGTTGAGCTGGCGCAGACAGCGGTTTACGAAAACCTGTATTTTCTTTGTCTGGGATTTATTTATTTTCCAAGTGTCGCTGCCGTAGAGGAGGACTGGAATGACTGTAGCGTTAAATATTCGGAGTCTCGTTTTGGCTGATATCTCTCTGGCTGTCCATAGTCTTTAATATTTCATAAAGGTTATTTTGGCATTTTTTTAGTAGGCTTCGATTTCGCCACTGATGTTTCCTTTATTATCAATAAGCACGCCAAGATATTTGAAATTATTGACTATTTTGATTTCATTTCCCTCAAATGTTGTTAGATATTGACGCCTCTGGGGATGGCATGATAAAAGTTTTATTGTAGTTGATGGTTAGGCCGACTTTGTTGCTGTGGAAGCAGAGATTTGTTATTGTAATTAGCTGAGTTCAAAATTACTAATCAACTATATTATTCATTTTTAAATTAAATTACCATGTCTATTCCTAAAAATATTTTCAAGGTCCAAATAAGTATAGTAGATTGTCTTTATAAAAAAGTAGACATATAGTTTATAATTCCCTATTATATATAATTGATAATAAAATATTAGGTAAAATGCCACTTTTAGAGACGTATTTGACAGTTATATAAAATATTACAGTTTATTAAAGATTAAACATCTTATTATTCATCCCACAATGGATATAATAAATTAGATATCTTTTCTTCTCTTTTTTTTATGTGCTTTTAGGAAAACTATTTTTTTTCTTATTTGAAAAACAGTTTCGAGTTAAATTTTTAATATAAGTATATTTTTGATATTATTACAAACTACTATTATTTTAAGATATAATATCCCAACTCGATGTAGTGAGACAATAATATATAAAATCTTAATTGCTTTCATCATATCACTCTGGTTAAAATGTTTCATTTCTAATATGGCATCCTTGCCGTGTAAATAACTTAAGGCTTCAATATATTTACATAATTTCTTCTAAAGATTTTTAGTGTTTTTGTTTTATCAATTTATCTAACATAATGAATTCTAAGAGTTAACATCGTGAGTGTCATGGTTATGACTGCAAATTAACCAGCATCTATCATTTGTGTGGCAATGTAAGTTAAGATTATTAGTATAGCTGCTGAGAGCATATGATAGCATATTTTAGATATGCAATAATGGTCAACTGTGTAGTCGTTTATATATAATTAAAAATGGAAGATAATCTTTTAGAAATTTAATATCTCACAATAATTTTCTCGGATACTTATCTAGCTTCCATCATATCATCTAAGAGGAAGATCTAACCACCATATAGTTTTATGATGGTCGTTTATAATCTCTTCTTCAAGAATTGTTGATTTGATTAGGCCTATAAAATTTTCCTTATTAGTCCATTCTATAAAACTTTGTCTAAAATGGTAGCTATTAGTTTCATGACAATGTATGTTGCTAAGAATTATATTATTATGTTTTGAAAACCATTATCAATTGAGGCATATGTATAAATTAATTAATCTTTTTTATCACTTGTAATTCTTTAGACGCAAAATTTTTTTATATCAGCAATCGAAAATATTTTATACTGTAATAAATAGATTTTGTATTAAAAAATCTATTCTTAGACTTGTATTTTTAATTATTTATATGTTAATTTATTTTGTATGCATCAGGTTTTAACAAAAATCTTCAAATTTTAATTTAAAGATTTTTTTCGCCCAAAATTTTGAGGAAAAAATCTTTGTAGATTAATTTTTTACGAAAATTTTTCGCTAAAATAAATTTGAGCTTGCTAAAATAAGATTTTACTAAAATCTTTAGTAAGAAAATCTTTATTATAATAAAACATTTTTAATCCTAAAATTTTTTATACAAATATTTTGTGATTTTTTAAAAATAAAATTTTTGAGATATATGCTTTTACTTTATTTTTTGATCTTAGAAAAATATTATTTTTCATAAGTTGTAAATGTGAGAATTTAACTATTACATATTTTTTAATATTTGGTGTTTTGTCATAATTAATGTTTTATATTTAATGTAAAGTATAAAAGTGACATACTCATCTCAGAACCTTTAAAAATAATTTTAATTAAAATAAGCTAGTTGAGCATGTTTCAAGATGGTTTCAGTGATTCAGGGCCGTAGTCAGGAATTTTCACTTAGGGAGGCCAAGTGCTTACTTGGGGTGGGGGGGGGGCACTATTTTTTTAAATCAAACAAATAATTACGCATTCATAGAAGTTTTTTCCTATTTTTATTAAAAATTTAATAACAAAATAATACTATAATATGAATATACAAAACAAAATAATACTATAATATGCATATACAAAACAAAATATTATTATAATAGAATACGGCGATTTTTATTTTTAAATTTTAATATAAATAAACTAAAAGATAAATTCTGCGTTATTCTTTTTTCATACACTATTAATACTAAATTATGTTTACGTTTATCCTTCATAAACTCTCTACTGCTCTATAAAACTTTCTTTAATGTAGAGAACGAGGCCTCACAAGAAGCCGTTGATATCCCAATGATTATCGCTGCTGAGTAGCATTTATATAATTCTTTAAATGCATGATTATATTTTTTTTATACATAATATGTAAGATATTTTTAAAATTATGATTTTCTTTAGCTTCCGAAGCTAGCAATCCTTTTGCTATCTTCATTTCATGATGCAGAGTTTCCATATTTAAGTTTAACAGGGATTTTAATAAGGCCATTTTATCTGATAAAAAATAATCAGGGTCAAGGGGAGACAATGTATTAAAAGATGAAAAAAGATTAAAATCATCTTCTGTAAATCGGTCTAAAAAACGATCCACAAAGTTATCTATAATTTCATAATATATCTTTTTTAAAGAACTCCAATTGGAGTCTTTTTCACAATCGAATTCTAGTTTGCTATCAACTAAAAAATCTTGGAAATTTTTAGGCGTTTTACGTACCCGTGATGATTTTTGGGGAGTAAGATTAAATTTTGATTAAAGTTTTTCAGCCTTAATCATAATCAAAGCAAAAGAATTATCACTTCTTTTATTTTTTAATATATTGATAGTAGAATCAATACAATTTCTAGCATCCACTAGATTAATACCTACTGATTGTAGATACTTATTTAATGGATCTATTGTAATTAATATCTCATAAATTATGATGGCTAATATAATGTAATTTATTATATTAATACATTGAGATAAAAGACCAGAGGCTTCGACTGGATCATGAATTGAAACCTCTGAGAATTAAGAGTTCTATTAGAAAAGTAAAATAATACTTCACCAATAGCCTCAAAA